CGCCCCTCGTAGAAAGGATGCAGGAGGAGAGTATCTTTCGAATTCGCGCGCTATCCTCGAGCGCACGGCCCACACGGCGGCAGGAGGCCCACTGGCGAGGCTTCGTGGACGGTGTGTGCGCGTGTCCATTGGGCGCGGGCCTGCAGAAAGAGCATGTGCAGTCCTGGTGTTGGTCACGCGGTCCGGCTTCATTCAAGCTTGGACGGTACAGTGCCAGTTTTGATACATGTTCCGCGTGCGGATCATGTAATACAAATGCAGGAATTTAGTATAAAAAAACGATGAGTTCATGCATACATTTGTTCATAAGTTGTTCAGGTATTAAAATCCGATAGATAAACAAATCCCATGTATTTAAAATTGCCCTGTACGCATGTCCTGCAAGGGCATGTTCCTCGGCAGCAGCGGACAGTGGCAAAACGGCATTGAGAGTGGTTGTCATGTGTGTATCTGCCATGCTGCCCATGCTGCACCAAGTCCCAAAAGGCCCTGTAGATGCACCGCCGCTGTCCGAAGGACCGGAAGTGTGCACGTCGGACCCCGCGTTGAAGTGCGTGCATGGCGCCTCCACTCACTCACTGTGCAGTCGTGGAGGGTTCCACAGGTGATTTGCACGACAGATCGAGAGAGGGCCAGCCAGATGCCGACAGAGGGCAAAGATGCACTGCCGTTGCCCCAAGGACCCAGAGTGCTTACATTGCATCCCGCTTTGAAGTGCGCGCATGGCGCCTCCGCTCACTCACTGCTCACCAAGGCGGGGCTCACGCGTGACCTGCACGACAGATCGTGAGGGGGCCAGCCGGAGGGTGAGAGAGGGAGGGTGGCGTGCGCGTTGCGCACGAAGACGGCGGTGGCATTCTACGTTCATTCATCTGTGCATCGGTATTCGTTCGGCGGAGGTGGGAGGGGAAGGTTCGGCGGCGAGCGAGGGGGGGAAGTGAGAAGGAGACGGCCTTCTCAGAAGATGACGGGGCTTCTCAGAAGGCCTCCGGCCTTCTGAGAAGTTTTCTGCGTCTTTGGGAAAGGCTTAGGCAACCTTTCAGAAGGCCAGGGGACTTCCGAGCCTTCCGAGAAGGCCCCGCCCCTGCTCACTTCCCTCCTGGGCTCGCCGCCGAAAGGTGGCTGTCACGCCGAGGGTGTCGCACAACCCCGCCGACTGCCGGAGAGCATCTGCAGCCCCCCCCCTCCCTTCATTCTTCAGGAGGGAAAAAACACACAGACACAATTAATCGTCGATTCCCCAGAAAATATAGGAAAATATGGGAAGTGGGGGGGCAGACAAAACCCAGAAACTATGGGAAGATATGGGGGGAATCGTTCTATGTGTGTGCATTTATTTGTGTGTGTCCTGGGGGCCCTTCAGTTCTCCCTCCTCCTACGCCCGTTCCTCCCTCGCCTCTCCCCCCCTCCCTGCGAATGCTCCTCCTCCTACGCCCCCCCCCCCTTCATGCTCCCTCCTCCTACGCCCGTTTCTCCCTCGCCTCTCCCCCCCTCCCTGCGAATGCTCCTCCGTCCTCCTCCCCGCCTCCCTCCCTGCGGGGCCGCGGGCTGCGCGCGGCGCGCGCCCGCCGCCCGAGCGGCTCCGTCGCTGACTGCGTCCTGCGTCCCTCCTCTCCCTCTCCTCCTGCCCCCCCTCTAAATCATCCTCCTCCTGCTCCTCCTGCTCCGCCTCCTCCTGTCTGTCTCTGTTCCTGTTTCCTCCTCCTTCTCCTCCTGCCGCACTCCTTCTCATGCTGCGCACATCCATGGGAGACAGGCGAAGTTCACAGCAGTGCCATGAAGGAGCAGGTAATGGGGGAAGGGAGGCTCCAGCGGCCATGGGTGGCACAGAAATCATTCACATGCGAGCTATATTAGAGGCTGGGGGATGGGACTGAAGTGAAACGTGAGGTTGTCCCGATGGTTGTCTCGATGGTCGTCCCGACGTTCGAATGCCGTCGCCCCGGATGTCGTGACATCCGTCAAAGAACCCTTGTTCCCAAAGCCCGTGAGTCGAGCGGGACATCTGTCAAAACTCATGGGTTCCTTTCGCCCGTGAGTTGAAGCCACGAGTTGTCACATGGATTATGTTCGCCCATAGGCCCCGGGACCCACAGAACAGATGGGTTCTTTCTCGCCAGTGAGCTGAAATCACGCGTTTTCGCAGTGGTTTCTTTTGCCCGTAGGCCCTGGGACCCAACAAAACACGTCAGAGGCACGAGATGCATTGATATATAGTTATAGAATGTGTGCACATCTACACCTATATAATATATACATATGTGTGTGAGAAAGAGAGAGAGAGAGAGAGAGAGAGAGAGAGAGAGACATAACAAAAAGAAAGAAAGAGAGAGAAGCGGCCTCGGGGGGGGGGAGCAAAGCCAGTGCCTTTGTGTGGCGTGGGGGGGGGCACATGACCGCCGCCCTCCAGGGAGCCAGAAAGCACCACGTGGCTCCCAGTGCGCCGACCATCGCTTTCAGACGGCTCACGTGGCCTCCAAGACACCCGCCCCAACAGGCTTGATTCCCCGTGGGTGTTTCAAGAATTCTCGTGTGGTCGCCTGCTCCGCTGCGCGATGCGCGGAGACGGCACAAGAGGCGCCCAACAGGGCTCCGAGACGCTTCAAGCGGGCGCCAAGACGGCCCGCGAGGGCCCCAGGATGCCCAACACATATATTTGACGTTGGTTTTTGAAAGGCTATCGTTATCGTCTTTTCAGCCTTCCAGTGTTCCAAGACGGCCCAAGAGGTCGCTAAGGAAGCACCAAGACAGCCCAAGAAGCCCGCGACGGCCCGAATATGACCCAAGATAGCGCCAAGAGCGCCCAAAGAGGCCGCCAAGTCGGCCCAAGAGGCTACCACGACGGCCACAAGACATGGACAAGAGCGGGGATCCAAATTGACATTTCGAGCCGGACCCCAAAATGCCCCCGAGGCGCCCCCAAGAAGTTCCAACAGGCAACCAGGAGACCCCCAAGAAGGCCCAAGGGGCTTCCCCCAGAAGCCCCCAAGAGCCCTCCAACAGCGCCCCCCGAAGGCATCCAAAGAGAATCCCAGCATGGTTTTGCTCGGCTATTTGGGGCTCTCGCCCCCCCCCCCAGGCTGCACTGGGTCCTCCTCGTGGCTGCCTTACGCGTCTTCCTAGAGCCTGCCTGGGCGCTTGCAAAAAAACAGCTGGGGGATTCGCCCTCTTCGCATACCTATGGCGCGAAGTCATGCTGGACTTCGCCTCCATGAGAAGGGTGAGCCACGTCATCTGTCTTGAACTGTGTGCCGCGCAACATCCTAACGCTTTCCAGTGAAGCACAAGACGGCCTAAGGGATTTCCAAGGCCGCGACCAAGACGGCTTCGACTGACCTTGGCAGATCTTCGATGATTCGAATTGCCCCATGTCGTTGACCCCCAGGGTTACCAAGGAACCTCCGAAGGCACTTCCGGGATAGCCCGAGGGGCTCTCGAGACGATCACGAGATCTTCAAGACCGCTGAAGACAGCCCGCAGGCCACGAGCCTCCAGAAGCCTCCCAACAGTTACCTTCGGGCAGATGCTCGGTGCATCTGCTCAGAGCAGCAGGACCTCCTGGGGGCTGCTTATTCAGCGACGCTGGAAGCGTACATCAGGAAGTACGTTCCCGTATGATGGTCCTTGCGGACTGATGTCCATCCTCATTTGATCCTGTGAGTTTGATTTGGGCTGCGCTAGAACCTAAGCGTGCGCGTGGTTCTAGTATATACATATGTACAGACATTTGCATACAGCAATCGAGACGAACCATCAACAGTGACGTCTCGATATGGCTCGTGAGTTGACTTGTGTGTCCGGTACAAACCAGAGGTGGTCGTTCCCCCCAAAATGAGCTCCTTGTCATCCAGAGGGTGATCGTGCAGGCGACGACCAGGGGCAGCGGCCACGAGGTGTCTGCTGCAGACCGCGCCTCCTAGAGCGGACTGTACTGGACTGGTCTTCTGCTCCTGATGTTGCTCCCCCCCTCCTCCCCATCTTCCCTCCCGGTGCCCTTCCTCCTGCCTTCTCCCTGTGCCTCCCCTCTGTTCGTCCCCCCCGCCCCTCAGGGACTGGACTCGGCTGAGCTGGACCAGACTCCCCCTCCCTCCCCCTTCCCCTCGCTCTCTTTCTCCTGGCACTGCCCAGCGCGCTTCAATCGCGCGCCTGTCGCCGCCGCCATGCGGGTCGGCGCGGAAATTCACGCCCGGGGACGCTAACCCCCTTCGCTGGGCGGTGAGGGAGGGGGAAGACGAGAGGGCTTCCCCTCCTACTCCTCCCGGACTCGGCCAGGCTCGACTGCACTGGACTGTCGGTTCGACTGGACTGGGTCCTTCGTTTCTTCTTCCTCTTCCTCATGCTCTTCTTCTCCTTCCGCCCAGGGAGACCCAAAGGTGCCGATACCGCGACTCCTTGGACCCCCTCCTACCTCCCTCTCACCCCCCCCCTTCCTCCCCTCTCACCCCCATCTTCTCCTCCTCCTCCTCCTCCTCCTCCTCCTCCTCCTCCTCCTCTTCCTCCTCCTGCTTCTCCCCCTCCTCCCCCTCCTCCCCCTCCTCCTCCTCCTCCTCCTCCTCCTCCTCCTCCTCCTCCTCCTCCTCCTCCTCCTCCTCCCGCCCCTCTCTCCCCCCCCAGGGCCTCGGGCTGGGCCGCTTCCTCGCCGGGCGCGTGAGCGCGGCCGCGGCCAGGGAGGCGCCGCCCCACCCCCTCGCGAGCCTCTCGCGGGAGCCCTGCCGCGGCCCCCAAGGGGGGGCGGGGGCCAGAACTCGACCCAGAGAACTTCGGGAGGTCTTTTGATGTTGCCCCCCCCCATTGTTTCTCTCGGCGGGGAATAAGCTCGCCTTCCTCCTCCTCCTCCTCCTCCTCCTCCTCCTCCTCCTCCTCGTCCTCCTCCTCCTCCTCCTCCTCGTCCTCCTCCTCCTCCTCCTCATCCTCCTCCTATTGCCAGCTTCTGCCGTGATGATTTTGACGAGGAAGTGCAGAGGCTCATTGACATGGCTGAGGAGTCATTCGCCGAAGGCATGGACGAGTCATCGTCCAGTTGGGCCAGGTGGGCCCAAGAGGCGTTCGTCAAGGGAGCTGGCAAGGCACACCGATACTCCAAGATTCGTGAGCTGCAGGACGTAGCCGATGACAGGGGTGAGGCGTGCCAACCGTTCGAGCGTGCGGATGAGTGCGTAGATGAGTATACATATAACGGCGCACCGGGTCCGGGGGCCCGGGGCCGGGACCCCGACCGCAAATGTGCACCCCGGGGGGCCCGGAGGTTCGTCGGGGCTTGCCGGAGGCCTCCCCAGTCAGACAAGACGGCCCAAGAAGCGCCCAAGACGGCCCAAGAAACTTCCAAGAGGCCTCCAAGAGGGCTCCGAGATGCTGAAGATGGCCTCCAGACGTCCAAGGACGCCCCCAAGAGGCCCCAAGAAGCCTCCAACATGCGTCCCAAGAGGGCCCCTAGACGCAAAAATTGGCCCATTCCCTTCGTAAAACGTACATTTTCAACAAAGTTGTCTTTTGGGCTTTCCGACGTTACAGGACGGCCCAAGAGGCGCCCAAGACCGCCCCAAGACGGCCCAAGAAGCTTCCCAGAGGGCCCCAGGACAGCCCAAGAGGGCCCCAAGACGGCCCAAGAGGCGCCCAAGATGGCCCAAGAGGGCCCCAAGACGGGCCCAAGAGGGGGCCCAGAGGGGGACCACGAACCGCAAGCTCGAGCCTTCCGCCCCAAGAGGCCGCCAGGAGGCCCCCAGGAGGCCCCTCAAGAGGCCCCAGGAGACCCCAGACGTCCAAGGACGCCCCCAAGAGGCCCCAAGAAGCCTCCAACATGCGTCCCAAGAGGGCCCCTAGACGCAAGAATTGGCCCATTCCCTTCGTAAAACGTACATTTTCAACAAAGTTGTCTTTTGGGCTTTCCGACGTTACAGGACGGCCCAAGAGGCGCCCAAGACCGCCCCAAGACGGCCCAAGAAGCTTCCCAGAGGGCCCCAGGACAGCCCAAGAGGGCCCCAAGACGGCCCAAGAGGCGCCCAAGATGGCCCAAGAGGGCCCCAAGACGGGCCCAAGAGGGGGCCCAGAGGGGGACCACGAACCGCAAGCTCGAGCCTTCCGCCCCAAGAGGCCGCCAGGAGGCCCCCAGGAGGCCCCTCAAGAGGCCCCAGGAGACCCCAGACGTCCAAGGACGCCCCCAAGAGGCCCCAAGAAGCCTCCAACATGCGTCCCAAGAGGGCCCCTAGACGCAAAAATTGGCCCATTCCCTTCGTAAAACGTACATTTTCAACAAAGTTGTCTTTTGGGTTTTCCGACGTTACAGGACGGCCCAAGAGGCGCCCAAGACCGCCCCAAGACGGCCCAAGAAGCTTCCAAGAGGGCCCCAGGACAGCCCAAGAGGGCCCCAAGACGGCCCAAGAGGTGCCCAAGATGCCCCAAGAGGGCCCCGAGACGGGCCCAAGAGGCAGCCCAAGAGAGGCCCAAGAAGCACAAATCGTGCATTCCTATGGGAAAACGTATATTTTTCGCATGTTCGCCTCTTGGGCTTTCACCGCGTCCAAGACGGCCCAAGAGGCGCCCAATACCGCCCCAAGACGGCCCAAAAAGTTTCCCAGAGGGCCCCAGGACAGCCCAAGAGGGCCCCAAGACGGCCCAAGAGGCGCCCAAGATGGCCCAAGAGGGCCCCAAGACGGGCCCAAGAGGGGGCCCAGAGGGGGACCACGAACCGCAAGCTCGAGCCTTCCGCCCCAAGAGGCCGCCAGGAGGCCCCAAGGAGGCCCCTCAAGAGGCCCCAGGAGACCCCCAAGAGGCCCAAAGGAGGCCCCGAGAAGCCCCAAATCGGCCCCCAAAATGCTTCGAACCTGCTTCCAGGAGGCCCCCGACAGGTTCAGAGGCTCCCGAGAAGCTACGTCAAACTCCCAGCGAGCGGCCAGACGAGGCCCCCCACAAAATCACAAGAGGGTTCCAATATTTGTATCCTTCAGCGCTCTCTGGCCTTCTTCCCCCTGCCCCCTTCCCTGCGACTTTCGTTGACTCAAGCTCGCCTCCTAGCTAGAACCTAAGCGCGCGCGAAGCGCGCGCGTGGTTCTAGTGACAATCTATTTGGGATCGGCATGGCTGCTCAGAGGTGCCGCTACCTGCTGACGCCCATGAGTGGCCGTTGCTCGAGCCCTTCTCGATCCAGCGGATTCGTGAGGTTTTGCGAGGCTTCAAGTCGACGGCGCTGGGCCTGGTCAAGCTTCACCCGCGCTCGCTCGACGTGTGCTCCGACGTGGCGCTGGAGACGCTCTCGCTGCTGTACGCCACCTGTGAGCGCCTCCTCTGCTGGCCGTGTGGCAGGGTGCAGTGTCGGCTGATTAGGCTGAGCAAGCCCTCCTGGAGGCCACCGCCTAATTGCGCTTCCGAACACTCTAGTTCGCATCTGGGGCAGACTTCGGCGGTCGATCTCGCAGGATTGGGAAGTTCAGAATCGGCACCCCGCTTTTTGGGGCAGCGGTCCCGCCAGGAGCTCTTCCGACGCTGGTTTCGCTCATAATGTTGAGGCGGAGTTTGCTGATGCAGTGGGAACGTTTTCTGTGTCAGCCCTCATTGATATGTACAAGTGCTACGAGTGCGCTATAGTAGCCAAGTTGTTCGAAGAAACCCGTGCCCTCCAGTATCCCTTGCGAATGCTCTAAATGAATTTATGGTCCTACCGCCGTCCCAGAGTTGTCGGGGCGTTTTGGGTCTCCGAGCCGTTCCGTGGTCACTAACCAAGGGGTTCTGGCTGGGTGTAGTCACGCCAAAACGACGATGCATCTTCTATTGCATCGGTTCGTGGCCAGATGTCGCGAACTTTTCTACCCCATCATTCCACGACCTCTCATGGATGATGCTAGCTTTCAGTGGATAGGTAGCGATTTGCAGCAGTCAGGGCCTCTCATGGTTGCAGTCCAGTGGTTCTCCCGCTAGGTCTTTCGGTTCGGCCTTATCCTGCAGGTGGCCAAAAGCGGTTTTGTTGCCTCGTCGGCCCGTGCCGCGGCCAAGATAGGCTCGTCGGCCAAAATCATCCGGTTGAAAAGCCATCGGCACATGCGGAATTTGGGCCACGAGGTGTTTTCTGGTCGTCCGCTGCGCGTACAGGAGCGAAATCGGCTAAAGGGCGCGCAGTCTCGCAGGAGTAAGCTGCTCGCTCTGAAGCGCGGAGCCCCTGGTAAGGTCGCCGCCCTTTTTGGCGCACGGGAGTAGCCTCGCGGGCGCTCGCGGCGCGGGCGTGTCTGGAGTTACCGACAGCACCCTCATGGCCTTACGCACGCTCGTTGGTTCTCTCGTCAGAGCCAAGCGCTCAGGCTCTCTCACTGCTTGGCTGATGACTCAGCGGGATCAGTACTTCGATTCAGTTTGTGACGCTTGCGTTCCCTTACTTTTCAAGATTGCGCCATGATTTGGGACAGTAGAATCTCTTTGGGAAGGCTCCAGCGAGCTTGGCAGGATATTTCGGCCCGTGTCCAGGACTCCCAGTCTTGGAAGGTTTGTATAGGGCCCGTCTCAGCCGTTTTGCTGAGCTTGCGTCGCGTAGGCCGGTGCATGCGTTCTGCCCACCTCATCGAGAGCGACGAAGGTCATGTGCATAATCTGCTGCGCGAGTGCCCGCGCGATGCGCGCGCTGCCCTCCGCCTTGGAATTGCGCGGTGGCAGGCCGAGCGAGTTCTTCAGCACGTCCCCGAGGCCACTGGTTCCGAGGAGATTTGGGCGAGGGGGCTGCGTCACGGTGCGTTGAACATCTCGGACCAGAAACGCCAAGGGGCTGCGAGGTGCGCCCTGGGGCCGGCGATGTGGCATCCCGTCCGCCGCAAGGCGGCCGGCCTCAGCACTTCTTCGGCTCGCCAGTTTTGCGGCAAGGTAGATGCTGGAACCTTGGGCCGCCAGCTTTTTGATTGTGAACATGTGCTTGATTGCCCGCGCAACAATGAATTGATTTATCCTGGGGACGTCTTGGAGTTGAGGGAAGTGCTTCGAGCGAGGGGCGAGACGGGGCTTGGTGAGCCAGATTGGGATACGCTTGAGCTCGCCTATTGATTCCCCTTGCAGAGATTAAAGTCCCCCCAGTCCCCTCGGAGCTCCCCGCCCATTCCTGGGGGCTTGCCCTCGGGACTTGGGGTCGGCGCATCTGCGCCGACGGTTCGGGATTGGCGAGCTCCAGTCCAGAATGCATTCGGCGTGGATTTGCTGCGGTGGAGGTGGGCCTCGGGGGGCCCCCGATCCGCGCGGCGTTCGGGGCTCTCCTTGGGCGGCGCCAGTCGGTGCCTCGGGCCGAGCGGCGCGCTATCCCCCAAGCCCTTCGGCGGGCCCCCCCAGTCGCCCAGGTAGTGTCAGACCATTCAAGTGCTGCGCGGGAAGGGATGGAGTGGGCCCCAGCCCTCGCACACGGCCACGCGCTGCATGCGGATATTTGGCGTCGCATTTTTGATTTGTTCCAGGGGGGCCAGGCGCATCCTACCTTCCAGTGGGTGAAAGCCCACCGCGAGTGGGATGATATCCTGGACCTGCCCCCAGCCGAAGAAATTCAGGAATTCCTCGGTAACCCCTGGGCTGATTTTTTCGCCGGGCTGGGTTCCGAGCGCAATGCTGAGCCACGGCTGTCGTCGATGCTCAGAAGCAGCATCTCGCCGACATCAGGAAGGATTCTGACTTCCTGAGTCGGTCCGCCCAATCGATCGCTTTGCTTGCCACGGACCCCTCGACCCCAGTTGCCCAGGCCGTGGGCCGCCCTCGGCCCAGAGCGGTGCTGGTCCAGCATGAACTGTATCACTTTCCTGCCAAGTGTGAGTGGAGATGTAAGCAGTGCAACACGTGGGCTCGAACTCGCGATTCTCTGCTGCAGCTGCGATCAGGGAGTCGGCGCGCGTGCGAGCCCACTGCGGTGCAGGCTCCCCTGGCCGCTGAATTCTTTCAAGCCCACGGGGCTAGCGCGGTGCCTATCAGGTCGGGGGCGGCGCAGGAAGCGTCGTCGTTTGCGAGCGTGGTCCTGGGGCCCGCTCCTGAGCCTGCACCTCCTCCGCCTGTGGCGTTCAGTCAATGGAGTGAGCTCGGCCACGGCGTTGCGCGCGAAGGCCGCGCCATCTTCTGTTCTCTACGCAGTGCTCATGTGATTTTGCCCGACGGGCGCGCGCGTGGACTTGGCCTCCGACGCATCAGGCGCAGTGTCCACGCAAGCGCCCGATCGAGCCAGGCCCTGAAGGTGAAATATGCTTCGCGCGGCCTCCATCCCAGGACAGGGCAGCAGCTGGAACCCCTCAGCGCTGCCCAGCCCTCCATTCCTCTCGCCCCCGCCGCTGCAGCTGGCGCCGCTGTGGCGACCTGCCCTCTGGCCCCCGCTCGTGCTGCCGCCGCCCTCAGGTTGGAGGAGGCGGCCCTTTGGGGTGGGGAGCTGGGCGGAAACCTGGGGGTGGAGTCGGGATCGGACCGATGCAACTCGTTTTGTTTTCAGCTTTTTTTTTTTTGTTTCGGGGGGGGGGGGGGGGCACGTCAGGGGCTGCGGCGCGCCGCCCGTGCAAAGCCGCGCCGCGGCCCGACAACGCATTGAGTGGCCCCCCCTCCAATCACAGCTCGCTTGCCTGAGGCAGGCGCGGTGCTCGACCTGGCTGGTAGCCAGGCTCGCGCACTCCCCCCCTTTCGGCCCGCCCGCTCGTCATCGACTTGTGCGCGTCGGCCTCGAGCCCTCGAGCCCTCCTCCTACTTGCCGTAGCCAGCGTTGGTTCAAGGCACGGCCGCCCCTGTTGTCCCTCTGGGTTGGGCGCGCAGATGGCCAGAGGCGACGTGTTGGCAGCAGCTGCCGCGTCTGATTTGCCTGAGCTATGTTGTCGCAGTCTCTGTTCACACGACGGGCGTGATCATCCAGGGATCTCGGCAGCCGCTCGTGCAGCATTTCGGCTCCAGACCATAAGTCGCAAGGCCGCGAAGTTTTGGGAGCGTTTGGACATCGCCTTCCACGTCAATCGCCGCACCAACACTGCGAAGGCGACATCGTTCTTCTCTAAGCTCCACGTGCAACTTGGCGCTCACGACGTCGGGGCAGACCGCATGATGGACAGCACCTGCGACGAGCACCTCAGCACATCCGAGGAGGACATCACCTGCCATGCCGAGGCCGGCACCTTCGACCAGTCGGACGGACCTCCGACAAGGAGTACAGCGCTGACGAGGACAGGACCACCACCTACGGCATGAACGACTTGGGTGCGATCGACTCGTTGTCGACTCAGTATTGTGCAAGTTTCTCTTCTGGTACGTGTGCGGACAAGCCTGGGCCAGATGGTAGCTTTGGGCAGTTCCACATCGGGGAGGGGTCCAGCTGGTTTCGCAGACTGACGTGAGCACCGCGCGCCGCATCTTGGTGCTCTCTGAGCGCGAGCTCGTGGAGCACGCGACGCTCGGGGAGCTCCGCAAGTTTCGCAAGGACATCGACCTCATCAGCCATGATCTCGACTACAGGTACCACGATACCGCCGGCTACGGTTGCCAGAATGATTGCAATAATCAAGTGGGCATCGACTTTATTGGCGGTGACATCGATTCCATCGGCCTCCGTGGCATCGATCACATCAGCCACGAGTGCCAGAATGGCATCGCCAATCTCCAGTACAAGACGGCCAGCTTCAAGTTCGCGGTGGGCAAGTGCCAGTTGTTCTCGGAGTTTGGGTTGGACTTCGCTGCTGCGGGTACCGTCGAGTTGCCGCCCTAGAATACGGGCGCTGACGAGCGGCAGTGCTCCCTCAGCAACGCCGCCGAGCTCCTTAGAAAGAAGAAGCTGCTGCACCACTACGCACAGTTCGCATCCAGTCCGGGCCACACTACCCGTGTTGAAGCTGCAACCGTTGGGCGTGATCTTTGTTTTGTTGCCGGTTCGGAACCTCTCGACGACGGCGGTGTGAGCAAGATGTTCGGACACAAATCTGAGTTGGGGTTGGTGCGATTCAGTGGCGTGTTTTACAGTACCGGCTACGCGCAGTCTTGTTATGTTTGCGAACACTACATACGGCCTCTGGCCTTGCTGTCACCCCTCTGGGGTTACGGATTTCGCATGCTGTCGATCTGCCAGCGGGATCCTTGGACTCTCCTCTCTCCTTTTGCTGTTTTGCCCTTTCTCGCCCCCCCCCCCCCTCGCGGCCCGCGCGCTCCTCCTCCCCTCCTCCTCCTCCTCCTCCTCCTCGTCCTCGTCCTCGTCCTCCTCCTCCGCCTCCTCCTCGTCCGCGTCCTCCTCCTCGTCGTCCCCGTCCTCCCCCTCCTCCTCCTCCTCCTCCTCCTCCTCCTTTTCCTCCTCCTCCTCCTCCTCATCCTCATCCTGCTTCTCATCATAATCCTCCTCGTCCTCCTGCTCCCCCTCGTCGTCGTCGCGGTTGCTCTGCGGCGGCCCAGATGCCCAGATTCTCGCGTTGTGAAACGAACGCGACGAGAGGTTTTTCGTTCTCGTCGGCCTCTGGGCGCCCTGGCCGGGCTTGGGACCGTAGAAAAATTATTCAGAATGAGAAACCAGTCCCGGGGAAGGGGTCCAGACCTTTAGGGATCGACGTGGAAATCATTTTGGCGGAGGGCCAGGCCATCTGAAGCTGCGGGGACCGCGACGCAAGTGAGAAGAAGCAGGGGGACGAGTGCGGGGTGTGCCAACATGGAGCGGGTGCGCCACGCGGACCCTGCCACTCAGGCCGTGGATCGAGCTCCCTATGGGGCCACGGCACGTGAGAGGTGAGACGAATCGGATGTGGGCGCGCCATGCGGACCCGACCACTGGGGCTTTCGGTGGGGCCCCCTACCGGGCCACGAAGCGTGTGAGGGGTGTGCCGATTCAGATGCGGGTGCGCCACGCCCTTCGGGTCCGCGAAACGTGTGAGGGGTGCGCCGGATAGGGTGCGGATCCGCCACGCAGAGTTTGCAGCTGGGGCCTTCGGTGGATTTGCCTCCAGGGCCACGAAACGTGTGAAGGGTGTGCCGAATCGGGTGCGGGTTCGCCGTGCGGACCCTGCCGCTGGGGCCTTCGGGTGGGGCTTTTATAAGGCCACAAGACGTTTTAGGGGTGTGCTGAACCGGCACCGGGCATGCCATGCGGACCCTGCCGCTGGGGCCTTCGGGTGGGTTCTTTAGAAGGCCGAAAGACGTGTTAGGGCCACGAAACGTGTGAGGGTTGTGCTGGGTCGGGTGCGGGTACGCCATGCGGACCCCGGAGCTGGGGCCTTCGGAGGCATTCCCCATGGAGTCACGAAGCGTGTGAGAAGTTTGCCGAAACATGCGCGAGTACGCCATGCAGGCTCTGCCGCTGGGGCCTTCGGTAGAGCCCCTTGAGGAACCATGAAGCCTTTGAGGGGTCTGTTGAAGCGGGTGCGGGTACGCCATGCGCACTGCAGCTGGGACCTTCGGTGGAGCTGTGCGCCATGCACACCCAGCAGCTGGGGCATTCGGTGGAGCTCCTTATGGGGCCACGAAGCGTGCGAGGGATTTACTGAATTGGGCGAGAGCACGCCACGCGCACCCTGCAGCTGGGGCTTTCCGGTGGGGTCCCTACAAGGCCAAAAGACGTGTTAGGGCCACGAAACGTGTGAGCGTTGTACCGTTTCGGGCGCGGGCTTGGGCCTTCGGTTGGGTTTCGTAAGGTGCCGGGAAGCGACCAAAAATCGATTTGTCTGGAATTATTGTGAATTCTTTGGCGTGTCATGGGGACGGTCCCTACTTCCTGAAAGGATGGACTCAACCACCGGAGGAGGCGGAAGAGGAGGAAAGGAGGAGGAAGAAGGAATTGGTAGGAATAAACCTTGGTGGTGGCAGATGAAAGCCAGACGAAATTGTTCTCCCTACCTCCTCCAATGAGGACCGGTGCTGAAGCAAGCGATGATGTATTGCGTTGCCGGGGGAAGCGTCCGGAACAAGGCGCATGGCGCGAAGCGCCACTGCAGTCTTGTATATATATATATATATATATATATATATATATATATATAGATATACATATAACGGCGCACCGGGTCCGGGGGCCCGGGGCCGGGACCTCGACCACAAATGTGCGCCCCGGGGGGCCCGGAGGCTCGTCGGGGCTTGCCGGAGGCCTCCCCGGTCAGACAAGACGGCCCCAGGAGCGCCCAAGACGGCCCAAGAAACTTCCAAGAGGCCTCCAAGAGGGCTCCGAGATGCTGAAGATGGCCTCCAGACGTCCAAGGACGCCCCCAAGAGGCCCCAAGAAGCCTCCAACATGCGTCCCAAGAGGGCCCCTAGACGCAAAAATTGGCCCATTCCCTTCGTAAAACGTACATTTTTCAACAAAGTTGCTTTTTGGGCTTTCCGACGTTACAGGACGGCCCAAGAGGCGCCCAAGACCGCCCCAAGACGGCCCAAGAAGCTTCCAGAGGGCCCCAGGACAGCCCAAGAGGGCCCCAAGACGGCCCAAGAGGCGCCCAAGATGGCCCAAGAGGGCCCCAAGACGGGCCCAAGAGGGGGCCCAGAGGGGGACCACGAACCGCAAGCTCGAGCCTTCCGCCCCAAGAGGCCGCCAGGAGGCCCCCAGGAGGCCCCTCAAGAGGCCCCAGGAGACCCCAGACGTCCAAGGACGCCCCCAAGACGCCCCAAGAAGCCTCCAACATGCGTCCCAAGAGGGCCCCTAGACGCAAAAATTGGCCCATTCCCTTCGTAAAACGTACATTTTCAACAAAGTCGCCTTTTGGGCTTTCCGACGTTACAGGACGGCCCAAGAGGCGCCCAAGACCGCCCCAAGACGGCCCAAGAAGCTTCCAAGAGGGCCCCAGGACAGCCCAAGAGGGCCCCAAGACGGCCCAAGAGGCGCCCAAGATGGCCCAAGAGGGCCCCAAGACGGGCCCAAGAGGGGGCCCAGAGGGGGACCACGAACCGCAAGCTCGAGCCTTCCGCCCCAAGAGGCCGCCAGGAGGCCCCCAGGAGGCCCCTCAAGAGGCCCCAGGAGACCCCAGACGTCCAAGGACGCCCCCAAGAGGCCCCAAGAAGCCTCCAACATGCGTCCCAAGAGGGCCCCTAGACGCAAAAGTTGGCCCATTCCCTTCGTAAAACGTACATTTTCAACAAAGTTGTCTTTTGGGCTTTCCGACGTTACAGGACGGCCCAAGAGGCGCCCAAGACCGCCCCAAACGGCCCAAGAAGCTTCCAAGAGGGCCCCAGGACAGCCCAATAGGGCCCCAAGACGGCCCAAGAGGCGCCTAAGATGGCCCAAGAGGGCCCCAAGACGGGCCCAAGAGGGGACCCAGAGGGGGACCACGAACCGCAAGCTCGAGCCTTCCGCCCCAAGAGGCCGCCAGGAGGCCCCCAGGAGGCCCCTCAAGAGGCCCCAGGAGACCCCAGACGTCCAAGGACGCCCCCAAGAGGCCCCAAGAAGCCTCCAACATGCGTCCCAAGAGGGCCCCTAGACGCAAAAATTGGCCCATTCCCTTCGTAAAACGTACATGTTCAACAAAGTTGTCTTTTGGGCTTTCCGACGTTACAGGACGGCCCAAGAGGCGCCCAAGACCGCCCCAAGACGGCCCAAGAAGCTTCCAAGAGGGCCCCAGGACAGCCCAAGAGGGCCCCAAGACGGCCCAAGAGGCGCCCAAGATGGCCCAAGAGGGCCCCAAGACGGGCCCAAGAGGGGGCCCAGAAGGGGACCACGAACCGCAAGCTCGAGCCTTCCGCCCCAAGAGGCCGCCAGGAGGCCCCCAGGAGGCCCCTCAAGAGGCCCCAGGCGACCCCAGACGTCCAAGGACGCCCCCACGACGCTTCGCGTCACCAATTTCTTCTCACAACGATTCCTGGGTCTGTGACTCGACAGAACCTAAGCGCGCGCGAAGCGCGCGCGTGGTTCTAGATAGATATATACACACATACAACATACAAATGACGGGCTTAGCTCTCTGCCGCCAGCCTCCTCTGACATTGGCTGCGTGGCCATGTTTATCGGTTGGTTGACTTGTTTTCATGTCAATCGGCTTGTTGGCAACTCGGCTGGTTGGCTCGCCGTCAAAATTGCATGGTTGGCAACTCGTCTGGGCTACTTGCCGGTTGGCTGGCTGGCTCTTTGCCTGCGCCTGTAATGATAAGGGATGGTGGCCTCGAGCGCGCGCATCGTTATGTAGTTACGAGGCATGGTTGTCTCGGGAGCGCGCGTGCCGTAATTGACGCGTGGTTGCCGCATGGGGGCGCGCGTCGCAATTAATTTGGAAAGTTAATGTCGGGAGCGCGTATTTGTTATATTGCAAAATGGGCTGTGGCCCGGGAACGCAAGCAAGTTGTTATTTACCAGCGACGATGGCCTCGGCAGCACCGAAGCGTTGTAATGTACGTAGGTGGCCGCGGGAGCATCGATGGTAACTTACACAGGAGAGTGCCCCTTGTGTCGCGCACGCGTCGAAAGTTATTCGGGGTAGAGGCCCTAGGGGCGCATCTGGTGCATTTTACAAATGAATGTCGCCTCGGGCGCGCACTTGCCGCGCTTTGAAAGAGACTGTGGCCCAAGGAGCGCGCATCTGTTGTTGTTCCCAACCATCCTGTGGTGTTGGGTCCTCGTTTTGACAAGACAGCGCCCCACGTTCTCCTCCTCCTCCTCCTCCTCCTCCTCCTCCTCCTCCTCCTCCTCCTCCTCCCCGTCCTCCCTCCTTCCTCCTCCCCTTCCTCCCTGCGTTTCACCCACCCTGTGTTTCGTGGCCCTCCTCCTTCCTCCCTGCGTTTTACCAACCCAGTACAAGGCTTCGTAGCCTTAAAGGGGGCCCGACCAAAGGTCCCAGTGCTACCGTCCGCATGCGGCCCGCACACCCAGTACAGCGCTTCGTGGCCCCATAGGGGGGCCCCACTGAAGGTCCCAGTGCTACCGTCCCCATGCGTCCCGCACACCCAGTACAGCGCTTCGTGGCCCCATAGAGACTCCACCGAAGCCCCAAGTGGGAACGTCCGCGCGCGTCCCGAAACACCCAATTTGGCAACTTCGCCCGCCCAGTACAGCCTTTCGTGGCCCCACAGGGAGCTCCACCGAAACCCCCAGTGCCACCGTCCGCATGCGTCCCGAAACACCAAATGTGGCATTTTTCACCCACCCAGTACAGCGCTTCGTGGCCCCATGGGGAGCTCCACCCGAGGCCCCAGTGCCACCGTCCGCATGCGTCCCGAAAACCAAATGTGGCATATTCACCGACCCGGTACAACGTTTTGTGGCCCCATAGGGAGCTCACCGAAGCCCCCAGTGGGACCGTCCGCATGCGTCCCGGAAGCTTAATTTGGCAAGTTCACCCACCCAGTACAGCGCTTCGTGGCCCCATAGGCAGCTCCACCGAAGCCCCCAGTGGGACCGTCCGCATCCCAATTTCGCAATTTTGCCCACCCAGTTTTCTGCTTCGTGGCCTCATAGGGAGCTCCACCGAAGCCCCCAGTGGGACTGTCCGCATGCGTCCTGGAAGCCCAAGGTGGCACACCACCCACCCAGTACAGCGTCCCCCCCCACCCAGTGCAGCGCTTCGTGGCCCCAAAGGGAGCTTCACCGAAGAAGATATTCACATTTGCGGTACCCACAACTGCATATGGC